TGGTGTACGGTTTTGTATATTGTGAAATGTCAGGATACTGGCAAGTTAGATGGTCTCCATCTAATAGAAAAATGATTTTGAGAAATTCAGTCTTTTAGTTTATGTGTCCTTTACCCACAGAGATTTATTTTTAGGTCAGGCAAGCGTGGGGGCCATTATATGGTATCAATTCCATCATCCTCCAGTAACAGCCTACATACTCTCGCCACATGAGGACAGGCATTCTCGTGCACCAGGAGGAACCCAAGACCCACTGCACCAGTGTAGGGTCTGACAATGGGTCCAAAGATTTCATCCCGATACCTAATGGCAGTCAGGGTGCCATTGTCTAGCCTGTAGAGGTCTGTGCATCCCTCCATGGATATACCTCCCAGGACCAATCCTGACCCAACACCAAAATGGTCATGCTGAACGATGTTACACAGGCAGCATAATGTTCTCCACGGCTTCTCCAGACCCTTTCACGTCTGTCACTTGTGCTCAGGGTGAACTTGTTCTCATCTGTGACAAGCACAGGGCACCAGTGGTGGACCTGCTAATTCTGGGCTTCAATGGCAAATGCCAATCAAGCTCTATGGTGCACAGGACCCAACAGAGGACGTTGTTTCCTAGGGACACCCTCATGAGGTCTGTGTTTTGATTGTCTGGTCAGAGACATTCACACCAGTGGCCTGCTGGAGGTCATTTTGTAGGGCTCTGTTAGTGCTCATCCTGTTCCTCCTTACACAAAGCAGCAGATACTGCTCCTGCTGATGGGTTAAGGACCTTCTATGGCCGTGTCCAGCTCTCCTAGAGTAACTGCCTGTCTCCTGGAATCTCCTCCATGATCTTGATACTGTGCTGGGAGACACAGGGTCCAGGTATTGCCTCATGCTACTAGTAGTGACACTGACCCTAGCCAAATGCAAAAATAGTGAAAAACAGAAAAGATGAGTAGGGAAAAAAATGTCAATGGTCTCCACCTGTAAAATAGTTCCTGGTTTGGGGGTCGTCTCATTGCTGCCCATCTAGTGCACCAAAGCAGCTGAAACTGATTAACAACCCCCTCTGCTACTTAACCACTTGCCCTCCAGAGAATTTACACCCCCCCTTCCTGACCAGGCCTTTTTTTGCGATACGGCACTGCGTTACTTTAACTGACAATTGCGCGGGTCATGCAAAGCTGCACCCAAATGAAATGCATGTCCTTTTTTTTCCCACAAATGGAGCTTTCTTTCAGTGTTATTTTTTGATCGCCTCTGCATTTTTTTATTTTTTGCGCTGTAAACAAAAAGACTACTTTTGAAGACAAAAAAAAAAAAACAATATTTTTGACTTTTTGCTATAAAACATGTCCAGTAAAAATAAAAATCAGATTTCATCATAAATTTAGGCAAAAATGTATTCTGCTACATGCCTTTGCTAAAAAAAAAATCCCAATACATGTAAATCAATTGGTTTACGTGAAAGTTATAGCATCTACAAATGGCGGTATATATACTGGAATTTATTTATTTTTTATACTGGTAATGGCAGCGATCAGCGACTTATAGCGAGACTGCGGCGGGCATTCTGACACTGGGGGGGAACTGACTGTCACTGACATCCCCAGTGACACTAATATAGTGATCAGTGCTAATAAAAAGCACTTACACTGTACTAATGACTCTGGGCAGGAAGGAGTTAACATCTGGGGCAATCAACGGGTTATGCAGAGCAATACAAAGCAGTGTGCTGGAGCTGACAGGGGAGAGATCTGTATTGTTTACATACAGACCTCTCCCCGTCAGTATTCCTCGGCGATCGCCAGGTGCCGGCGGCGAATCTCCGGCCGTGACCTGGTGATCGACAGTTGTAGCTGCCAATGGTGCATGCCCCCCTACCTGGAAATACAAAATCATGTATATATACACACGTGATTTTGTGCAGCCCTGCTGCCCTTCAGCAGTGGTTCGGCTATATGGCATTCGGGAAGTGCTTAACAGACCAGATAAATATCCCAGGTGTTTAACTGACTTGATGCTATACTAACTAAATGCACCCCAAACAGGGAAATTACCATATTCTTCCCCAGGAAAGTTTGCATACTGTTTTGGGTGTATGAAATTCAGATGTCACCAACCAGTGAGACAGTGATTACGTCTGAAAGCCTGCAAGCTGATGAAACTATTATCATTAACTACTTCCTGTCCTGCCTATAGTAAAATGATGGCTGGGCACACCTCTCCTCCCTCCGGTAGAGCGTCATATGACGTCCTTCCCGGATTGTGCTTTGCGCTTGCCCGCAGGGCTGCGCTGTGGAGCGATCTGTCACCTACTGTGTACCTCGGACATCGCCGATGACAGATCTGTGTACTGGCCCTGTTGCCAGTTCCATGTGACCTGCTGTGACCAATCGCAGCAGGTCACATGACAGTTGTATACAATGGATGGCTTCCTTTCATGCCATCCATTGTATACAAGTGTGTCCAGCTGTGAATGGTCACAGTGATCACATGCACAGGCTGGGCCAATCAAAGCCCATCTGTGTCATGTGATTAGCCATGGCCAATCACAGCTAATCACAACAAAAAAAAACCTAAATGAATCGATTTCATTGTTAAATGCTTGCTTATAGCAAAGAAATTCTTTGCTATAAGCAATCAAATTGTGTAAAAAAAACAATACTTTTCACTTCCCCAAAGTAGTACAATGTCACTATGGTAACATTATACTACTTTGGTCATAGTGTAATATTGAAAAAAAAAAAATCTTAAAAAAAGAAAAACAAATTTAATAAAAAACTTTTTTTTCGTATTGTCACCAGTCAGTCTCCCTGATCACCGCCACACCAGTTATATGACGACGCTGTACTGCACTGGTGACAGTATGTTAAAAAAAAAAAAAAAAAATTTGTGCAAATAGTTGTTTCAATTTCTTCATTTTCAGAAAAATGATGACAAAAAAATTACAACTTCAAAAAACTATATATATAACTATATATTTATAACAGAAACAAAGAAACTTTTTTTTTAAAAATTTACGTTCTTTTTTTGTTAATTTAGCAAAAAATAAAAACCCCAGCGGTGATTAAATACCACCAAAAGAAAGCTCTAGTTGTGTGAACAATGATAAAATTTTAGTTTGGGTACAGTGTTGCATGACCACGCGATTGTTATCCAACGTGTGAGAACGCTGAAACCTGAAAATTGGCCTGGGCAGGAAGGGGGTAAAAGTTCCCGGTATTGAAGTGGTTAAAGAACCACGTTATCAGCTGGATAATGTATTTCCAATGCATTTTGTAATTAATTTACACTGCTGTCTGTGTATGGCAGATACAGAGTTAATCAAAAAGCAATTTACTATACATAGAACATATTATACACCAAGGAAATAGTTTTTGTTAGGGAGACGCCCTGATGCATGCTGCCCTAGGTGTGGAGATTTGTCTGGAAGTTTTTTCATATGATCTGGAGGTGTTGCAAATAATATGGATATTGGAAAAAGGTGTTGGAGATAATAATATGCAAATATATTGTATATAGGCGAGCGCAATCCCTATATATATATATATATATATATAAATATAAAGGTGCAGCGCTAAAATCACAATAAAAAAACTACATGAATCAAGTGGAACAATAAAGTGCACCACATAAGTGCACTAAAAGTTCAAGTATAAAATAAACAGCACCCTGTGTGTGTTTCCCGGTGTCCCAATCAAACACAGGGCCTTGGCAGGTAACACATAAGCATCCGCCCATCTTGATGCATCTATGGATGCTTATCTAGTTTTTTACGGACATATTACCTTACCTATTTTTAATGTTTCACTAATCATCACGTGTAACCATGAACATTATTAGCATATTACTATCTGCTGATTATTTTTATTTGCACTTTTAGTGCACTAATTATCACTTGGTACCACATAGATAATATACGTGTTTGGTATAACATTAGAGATGGTACCCGAGCTGTGTATATTGGGGATTTTGGGAAACCATGGAATCTCTTATTCTATATACCTAGCAGTGCAGAGATGTTTCTACATAGTCAGGAAATTGGCTGCTCAGAAATGGATTTTCCCTAGTGCCTCCCATTTATGATGATTGGTTAAAAGTGGTCAATAGTACGATAATAAGGGAAAAAAAATATACACAAGGAGAGGGTGTGTTGGGAAGACGCCCGGTGCCTTTGGATGTGACGTTTAGAACTCTCCTGGTCTGTTTGCACGTTGCACATGCATGTTTAGCTGGGTCTGAGTCACTTATATTCATTACACACGCTGTCTATACTGGTGTCAGTTCTTCATTAAAGTTTGATGTTTTTTAAAACGTACTGCACCATGATTTTCACTTTTTTCTTTCGAGTGACTGTCTGATCATCTCTCAGTTTGGATACTAAATCACCTTTGGAGTGGATTTTCAGCTTTGCAGCAAATCATCTGTTGGAGTTCATCCCTCATTTCTTCAGCGTTGCGGTCACCATATTATTCATTGCTCCCAGAGTAACAAGTACTATATGCTGGTTTTTCAATAATCAGCATATTACTCCGGTGAGTTCTATTTAACCATTTTTGGTGGTGCATTCACTTGGTGATTAATGATTTTGGACATTATTATTGGAACCTTTGGACTTTCATTTTTGCTGGATTTTATTTTGATTTAAAATATTGTTTCTTATTGTTTTGTTACATTTTTTGTTACACTTTTGTATGTATTTAAACTTCATCAACGCTGTCAGAGCACCTGCTCCAAAACATTTCATCTCAGTCACTGACTTTAGAGGAGACAGGAGTTTTAAATAAGGGGTTAACATTTTGGCCTAAAAAGCCCATCTTGATAAATTTGTTCTGGACCAATACTAACATAGTCTGTTGCAGATTTTGAATAAGGCATAATCTTTGTCTGCAGAACTGGTTGGTAAAATATGAATTGTATACACCCAAGACAGTATGCAAACAATATTTCCTGGTCAGAAAAAGGTAAGCATTGTCTGTTGTCTGGGGTGCATTCAGTGTCGAATAGTTCTTAGGGGCAATCCCATCCACAGAAACTGAATATTCAAGGAACATACCGTATTTTTCGCTCCATAAAGACGCACCTGACCATAAGACGCGCCTAGGTTTTAGAGGAGAAAAACAAGAAAAAAAATATTCTGAACCAATGGACTGCAGACATAGTACCGGAAGTGACCAGACACTGCGGACACAGTACAGGAAATGACCAGGGACTGCGGACACAGTACAGGAGATGACAAGGGACTGCGGACACAGTACAGGAGAAGGACCAGAGACTGCGGACACAGTACAGGAGAAGGACCAGAGACTGCGGACACAGTACAGGAGAAGACTGCGGACCAGTACAGGAGACTGCGCGGACACAGTACAGGAGAAGGACCAGAGACTGCGGACACAGTACAGGAGAAGGACCAGAGACTGCGGACACAGTACAGGAGAAGGACCAGAGACTGCGGACACAGTACAGGAGAAGGACCAGAGACTGCGGACACAGTACAGGAGATGACCAGAGACTGCGGACACAGTACAGGAGATGACCAGAGACTGCGGACACAGTACAGGAGATGACCAGAGACTGCGGACACAGTACAGGAGATGACCAGAGACTGCGGACACAGTACAGGAGATGACCAGAGACTGCGGACACAGTACAGGAGATGACCAGAGACTGCGGACACAGTACAGGAGATGACCAGAGACTGCGGACACAGTACAGGAGATGACCAGAGACTGCGGACAGTACAGGAGATGACCAGAGACTGCAGACAGTACAGGAGATGACCAGAGACTGCGGACAGTACAGGAGATGACCAGAGACTGCGGACAGTACAGGAGATGACCAGAGACTGCGGACAGTACAGGAGATGACCAGAGACTGCGGACAGTACAGGAGATGAACAGAGACTGCGGAGAGTACAGGAGATGAACAGAGACTGCAGACATACTACAGATGACCAGAGACTGCGGACAGTACAGGAGATGAACAGAGACTGCAGACAGTACAGGAGATGACCAGAGACTGTGGACAGTACAGATGACCAGAGACTGCAGACAGCACAGGGCATGACCTGACACTGCGGACCTTTAGGGAGGGAGGGGGAGCAGGTACCTGAATTTGACAGTTACCCGCTCCCACTTCCGCAGAGTTCTCCTCCCTATACTGTGGGCACCCGACTTTGACAGCCGGGTGCCCACTGCGCATGCGCGAGAGAGTGCTGCGCTTTGTGAATGGCCCGACGTCTTTTGGGACCTGTCATGTGCTTCTCGCGCATGCGCAGTGGGCACCTGGCTGTCACAGATGCCGGGGCGGGAAGAAGCCGGCGCGGGAAGACTACAGCGCTGGACCGAGGAACAGCAGAGTTCCTGCCGCAGAGAACAGCTGAGCGGCCGGCCCGGTATTCTGACATAGTGGCGGCGGAAATACCGGACCGGCCGCTTTATATTCGCTCCATAAGACGCACTGACATTTTCCCCCTTTTGGGGGGAAAAAAGTGCGTCTTATGGAGCGAAAAATACGGTAAGCCCTCTTTTATTGTATATGTGACACCCCTGTGAGAAGATCTATGATCTATGTGGGGAAATAACATAAAAACTAAAAGATAAAAATGGCCAACATCATTTTTTCCATTACACAGAAACAACGAAACAACCTAACTTGCCAGTGTCTTGGCTTTTCACAGAGAAGGGTCATGCTAATAAATACTTTAAATTCAAAGTAATTGATTGAAACCTGTATTAAACTGTGATGTATATGAATACCTCCTGCCCTGCGAGGTAACCTTTGTACTTATCCTTTTCCTTCTGTGTTCCTGTGGTTGCAGGTATTTGTATTCCTTAAAACCTCAATAAAAAGATATTGAAACAACAACAAAAAAAGTAATTGATGGAACGCTGTGATTATTAAAAACGAGGAGATTCAGCATTAACAAAGCATGGTGGATAAACAAACGGTCTGTGTTACATTCACATGGTCTTAACAAAGATTATGATCTCTAGTTATTTGTCTAAAGGATTTATTGTGATTTTTTTTTTCATATTTCAGGTGAGAAAAGAATTTTGGGGGAAAAATTGAATTGTGTATGAAACAGAATGGTATTGTTTTGAATATTTACTTCCCATGCTTTCTGTGTATGACAGATGAAGAGTTAGGCCGGGTACACACTGGCCGAATATCAGACTAAATCAGCAGGTACAGTAGAAACCGGCTGACTTTCAGCCCATGTGTACGGCTGCCTGTCCAACAGAAGTTGGTCTCATGATTAGCCTCTGTCAAATAAGCATGCTGGAAAACCAGCAGCTGACCGTCTAACAATAGCTCAGCAAGGGAGAGTTATTTTGTGTTTCTAGTGATGATGTGTTTCTCTAGCAAGGCGAAAATGCTATGATGTATCTTTTTCTCTATTAACAAGAAAAAACACAGGGGTGGGATGAATAGTTAGGCTCCTTTACACCAGTGGCCAGGGGGCAGAAAAATTAAATAAATAAAAGAGTGCCACAATAGTGTGCCATATGCTTGATATATCAAGCCAGGGTCTGGAATGAAGGCAGAAAATTACTAAAGTTCATGAGTCACCCAAAACTGCCAGAAAAATTGTTTGGGATACAAAGAAAGACCCACAGGTAACCTCAGGAGAAATACAGGCTGCTCTGGAAAAAGACGGTATCATTTTTTTTTTTAAGGAGCACAATACTTGAACAAAAATGAGTTGCATGGTCAAGTTGCCAGAAAGAAGCCTTTATTGCGCCAATGCCACAAAAAAGCTTGATTACAATATGCACAGCAACACCTTGACAAGCCTCACTGGGCTTTTTTGTGCATTGTCACAGGAGAGGGCTTCTTTTACCTGTGGGTTTTTCTTCATATCCTGAACAATTCTTCTGGCAGTGGTGGCTGCAATCTTTTTTTGGTCTACCTGACCTTTTCTTGGTATCAAGAGATCTCTGCACCCTCTACTTTTTAATACAGTACTGACTGGCATACTCAAAGCTTTTGATATTTTTATACATCCTTTTCCATCTTTTATAAAGTTCTATTACCTTGTTTCACAGGTCTTTTTACAGTTCTTTTCTGCTCCCCATGGCTCAGCATCTAGTCTGCTCAGTACATCCACATGAGGCTAACAAACAGACTATTTATACACAGACATTAATTGCAATTTAAAAAGCCACAGATGTGGGAAATTAATCTTTAATTGCCATTTTAACCTGTGTGTCACCTTGTGTGTCTGTACCAAGGCCAAACATCCCAGGGAATATGTAAACTTTTGATCACGGGCATTTGGGTGATTTCTACTATCATTACGGATTTAAAAAGAAGCCAAACAAATGTGATAATAAATGGATTCACGTGATCACTATCATTAAATAAAAGACACTTTTGGCATGGTCAGTCACATTTTTTTGTCAATGCCAAAATTTCACAATTTCTGCCATAGTATGCAAACATTTGAGCACAACTGTACATTTAAGAGCACATTTATAGATATCTTCAAATGCAGTATACATCACACAACTATGATTCCTTATTTTTTTGTTATTGTTTAGGAACGTTGTTTTTATTGATTTTGAATAATTAACTATGGATAGTAACGGAAGCCTGTAAAGTTATATAACAGAACAGCGTCAAAATACTCTAAAACCTCATTTCATCATGGCAGTTTGATAGTTCCAGTGATCTTGAGGAACCCTTGTTATCAGTAAACAATGGGAGTGACATATGAAGCCTTGTGGCCAACGTGGCTCCTGATTTGGCATCTAAACTCTTCTGTAGTTTAAATGCATGATAACAGGAGGCATTCACCGTTGGGAACAATATCCCATTTTTAATTTGTAATAAATGTAATGTTGAGTGGTTGCTGTTCTGGAGAATACTATACCCTTATTATTCCTGATGATACAGGAGTTGAATTTTGGATATCCAAATACATTTTTGAACCAAACAATGGAATGATGTACTGTAAAATAATTAAAATGTAGCTAAATATGAGTATTAGCATATCTAGGATGGATTCATGCATATCAACGTTATATGTATGTGGAACAGCAACTAACAAGTATTTTCTATATCTTTCATGATATGAATAAAAGCATGTGATTTTAATTTATATTTTCATGACTAGGGTTTCTTTATCTATAGCCTCATACCAGAACTAACATAGGGTACAATACATCACTGAAGGTCATCAATGCTGGGTATGGTATAGGGCTCCTCGGCTGTCCAGAAGACTTAATAACAGCCAGTGTTTTCTCTTCATTTATATCTCTCTTTTCATGAATTCATATTGTTTTGTGTCTAAATCATTTTTTAATGCTGCTTAATACTATACATTATATTACAACGGTACTCACCCTCAATAGAAAGACTTCCCATTTTGGACTCTAGAAAATCAAAGAGAGTGCTAGGAGCAGAAGGTCTAGAATTTGCCAGTTCATCGTTCTCTTCTACCCGTGTTCTTCCTCGACCTTTTCCTTTACCTATTCATTGAAAGAACACAGATTCAGGTTAACCATGACTTTTTCATGCAGCAAATTCACTGCTACTTCAGTCCCCACTACAGTTCCTACGGCTTTTCCTGAATGACATGGGAGACCTCACAGTCTTTTGCTTTTATATTATATATGTTAAGATTATGATTTAGCTAGAGGATCATAACAATAGTATGGCAGATCCCGTTGATTACTTCCCTATTCACACATGCATATAGGGGTTGATTCACTAAAATTGAGAATGCAAAATCTGGTACAGCTGTTCTATCCAATCAGCTTCTAACTTTGGCTTGTACAATTAAGCAATGACAAAAAAAACCTGGAAGCTGATTGCAAAATCTGGTGCAGCTCTGCACAAAAACTACTCTACAGTTTTAGTAAATCAACAACACAAGAGATGGAAACCTGTAATAAATGGATTATGGAGACTGCAATTTATGACCTCTCTTTCAGATAATGCCAGTTTGTCATATTAATCCAATGGCTTCAATACTTTGAGTCACTGACCTGAAACTAATATGTAGATCTGTTGCCCTGACTTCACTCTGATGTGCTTATTCTGCATATTAGTTGCAGATCAGTAACCCAGTATGTATGGAAGCTAGAGACAGCTCCTCAGTACACATCTCACCAAAACTGGCACTTGAATTTTCCTGTATAATGTGAGCATGGTCATGCTCCCTTGCAAATTTCTATTGGTCCTTTAGAATTATTGTTTATCTTATTGAACAATGGGACGGCAAGAGAAGGCAAGATAAAACCCAATATATGCAAAACAAGTTAAAGTGTTACTAAACCCAGGACCCTGCATTCATTATAGCCCACAGTACACACAATATGAAAAGCCAATTATTTTAGGAAATATAAACTGCTAAACACATTTCCTCATCAGCAGTGTATAGCAGTCCTGTGACTTCTATTGGTGTACAGCTGAGTACTGGTTAAAACTTGTAGGAGTTTTCTTCCTGCTCTGACTGTCCTATGAGGCTGCATAACCCCTAACCCTCTGTCTGGAGAGTGATGATTGGCCCTGTGCTGATCACATGCACCCTCCCAAAGAAAAAAAAAAAAACTCTCTAGCCATACACACTAAACTGGGCATATGCAGAGCGACTTCTAGAGCTCTGTACTTTCAGCAGATGGATTGGGGACAGTAGAAGAACGGGAGGATCAGAGAAGACAGGATCAAACAGTCTTTTTACACAAGGTGAAGGATTAACCCCGTAGGTTCCACAGTGAGTATAACAAGCATGTTTTACTGCATATACAGACTTATTTTACTGTTATGGATTTAGTAACACTTTAAGCGGTACTCAAACTTCACCTGTCAATATCTAGCAATTTATTTTTTTGCTTTGGCAAACAGTTTTCACTGAAGATAACGTCTGCCTAGGATTTTGTTTTTTTCATTTCATCCTCAGAATTGTCTGGGTTAGTGACATGATTACTTTACACAACCTCTATGTAAACCTGCTCTATATCAGGAAGCTTTCAGAAGGAGTCAGCAGTGATAAGTGATATGTGCTTCCTTTTTGTGGTCTGGTAGCTTTTGGAGCAGCATTTCTGGTGATTTTTGTTGCATGGCTTTTCCCACTTGTTACTATGGGGTTTTTTAATAACATAGAGATTCCCATTAAAGATACACAGTAAAGACCTAATAATAATAAAAATCAACTTAATTGCTTGCAAGAAACACAGCTACCTGCTCAGAGGTTGCATTTTTCATGGAACCATATAGCTGCATTGCACTGGTCTATACAATCCCTTTTTGTCAGTAATAAGATGGTCAGGGAAATGCATTGGACAGGGATAT